ATATATTCTTATTACATCAAAAAGTGGTTTCCAGGCGTGTAACAGAGTGGCCATGCAAGCCAACGACCGGCGAGAAGTATCTGTAGGAATCCCTTGCCCCGCCACTCGCCCCCGAGACGCGGAGGTGAGTGGCGGTTCGAACGATCATCCCGCAGTCGCCCCCCCCTTCCACTCTGACCCGAAGGACACCAAGGACACCCGCATTTAACGTCCTCATGGCGATAGGCCTGTGTGTGTTCCTAATTTGCAGTGGTCGCGTTTAGTCATTATTTAGGAAAGTTGTAGGTTCGGATCACAAGAGCAAATGTAGTGCGTGCCAGGCTGTGGCATCAGATGAGATCCCACATCAGCTTGTGAATTTACATCTTCAGTGAGCTCCAACTTGTCACTGACTCGATCATGCACAGATATGAATGCGTGTTAAGTGGCTACTGTGTGATTGCATGATTATATACGGTTTTATAAATCTTGAGATATAAGCTCTAGTAAGTCAGTCTAAGGTTTTGTTGGAAATAGATTTTCTCTACTTTATGGTAATATTTTCTGTTCAAGAATTGGGATTGGTCTTAAAGCAAAACAAAAGTCATGTTTAATAATAAAGAATATATTTTTATTTATACCAATTAAAATATATATCATATTATACAATACTGATTTCATAAAACCGAGATGAAAAGAAAGAATATATATATATGTATATTATAATAGTTTTTGCTGGATTAATTTAAAGAATATACATGGTAAGCACTTTTATTGAAATACTGTTTTACAAAATACATACGACATACACATTTCACAATAAGGAAGGTCGTGCATATCTTCAACCTGTCAAACAGTGTAAAAATAGTAAAAATACAATATAAATTATGAAATGATATGAAACATACAATATGAATGATGATGAATTATGAAATGACAATGACTACACGGAAATCAAAATATATTAAATAATTCAATATAAAATCATTAATTAACCATACATGAAACGAAACTGATTTATAATCACAATCCGTGGCTTCATAAGGATAATCTAAACCATCCTTTTCTCCAAACTTGAATTTCCTTTGATTTAAAATATAATCAGCATGATAACAAGCGAATTATCATTCACAACATGGAATAAACACATCAACATGATTAAAACAAAATTATGATATAAACACAGAATCAGCGTATTATCAGACAATAATACGGACCCCTTCAAGCATTTTATTTATTCGTTCAATTCATATATTTCTTATCTAACTATTTTTCTATTCAATCAGTTAATTCACTCATTAATCCTATTTTTTTTTTTACCGAAGAGATGGAGATATTCGTTTATCCCCTTTGTGCTTCTTGGTGTTCCCTCAGCCCCCTCTGGACACTGTACTCTTCGCTGAGCATTTAAACACTTCTTACATAAACACGTTTCAGGCGTGTTTTGGAGCCTCATTTGGTGAAGGGAAGTGAGGACGTTGCAGTAAAAGAATGGGACGAATACTCAGTGTTATGTGTTTTGAAGGAGAGTTTATACACTGCAATATATCATCACTATTGTGAAAGATGCACAGCAACGGAGATGGGACGAAGGAAGACCAAGTTTTTTTGTACAACAAGGCTACTGCAGAAGAGTTAAAACATTTTTAAAGGGAAAATTGACACAACTCTCTTAAAAATGATGAATACAATTCCTCTCTCTCTCACTCACTTACTCACTCATTCACTCACACAGTCTCTCTCTCTCGGTGACTTTTTTTAAGAGAGCAGGGAAAAATCCCCGCCTTCTTGATACGATTGTGCATCAAAGCCAGTGATGAACGCCCCGTCTGCAGTAGCCATGTGTTTGTGTGTCCGTCCTACATTATACACGTCTTTCATTGAAAATCTACAGCAACCACCACCTACGTTTAGACGATTTCTCCCTCTCTCCGGTAGCTTATTGTCTTAGAATCATACAGTAAATACATACATAAATAAATACATATGTTTTTTTTCCGTTGTAAAATATTGTTCCAAAAGCGGGATTCAGTTTTCTGGGAGGTTCTGCTTTCGAAATCTCAGCACATATGACTTTAGAAAGAAAAATTGCAATTAGGAGTAATCAGCATAACAGATTAATATATTCTAAGGTCTAATCAGTTAGAACATAAAAAGCCTTATTCAATAAATAAATAAAATTCAAACAAAATCTGTAATAACCGATAGCGAAATCATATCCATAAGGTTATTATTTTTTTAACATAAATTCTTTGGAATGAGCGAAAGTTAAATGACATTTTTAAAAGGTTGCAGACGTTGAATCCTCACAAGATGCGTGACCTTTGACCCTAATTGCAGCAACAATTCATATGCAAGCAAAAGCGGCAGTAAGAGAAATAGATAGAAAGATAGACAGATATAAATAGCTGGATGGATGGATATATAGATAGATAGATAGATAGAGAGATAGATAGATAGATAGAGAGAGAGAGAGAGAGAGAGAGAGAGAGAGAGAGAGAGAGAGAGAGAGAGAGAGAGAGAGAGAGAGAGAGAGAGAGAGATTAATAGAGAGACAAAGAGATATATATATGAATAGATTGAGATAGAAAAAAATGTATGCTCTTTATATTAGTTTCAATTACCTTATGAGGAAACACATTTAATCACTTATGGAGGAAAATATGCAAATTACAAAATATCAAATAACACAATCAACAATTTTTCTCTTATTGCACTGTCCTGCAACACTTCAACGCCTTTACCTTTCCTTAGTCTTTCTGTTGACAAAATTAGTATTAACCACCATACTCATTGGAATATTAATGCCCGTCAGAGTAACAGTATTCTCACTATGATACAACCAACACTAAAAATACAGTTTTTCTAACAGCTACTTAAAAACGTGAAATGGATATCAACAGACATTCAACACTTCCTTAAAGAGGAAATAAAAAATACAGAATTTACCATCGTCTTGGACAACAGTGCATAAAAGTCCTTATTGACTCAACAAAGAGTCTTTACTCATGGGTACTCATGAGTTCGTATGTACATAAAACCTTCGTATATATTATGAAAACACGAAAAACCGAAAATAGATTTAACTGATTTCTCATATTTCATAATGATAATGACGGTTAACGAATTAATGGCAATAGTAATAATAATGATAATAATAATAATAATAATAAACCTCCTTCCTGCCACACTATCTACAATCCTCAGTGCGCGAATCTGTAATAAGGAGCAGCTACGGGCGAGTGTCTGTGGGATTCGATCGGAGGCGGCGCCCTTATGGGAGTCTTGAGCACCCTGGCCCTGACGCAGGAGTAGAGGGCGAACAGGAGCGCCAGCAGCATGATCGCCAGCAGGACCCCGAAGGCGAGGACCATCTTGTAGGGCGTCACGCAGAACATGTTTTCTTCGCTGTTGGGGGAACGGAGGCGTTAACGCGTGCTGGTGGTATTTTCTGTCTGTCTTTGTCTTTGTCTCTGTCTGTCTGTCTCTGTTTGTCTGTCTGTCTGTTTCTGTTTATCTGTCTGTCTGTCTCTTTTTATATGTCTGTCTGCCTGTCTCTGTCTGTCTCTCTGTATGTCTGTCTCTGTCTGTCTGTCTGCCTGTCTCTGTTTGTCTGTCTTTCTGTCTCTGTTTATCTGTCTGTCTCTGTATGTCTATCTGTCTCTTTTTATCTGTCTGTCTGTCTGTATGTCTCTTTTTATCTGTCTGTCTGCCTGTCTCTGTTTGTCTGTCTCTGTCTGTCTGTTTGTCCCTGTTTGTCTGCCTGTCTCTGTTTGTCTGTCTGTCTCTTTTTGTCTGTCTGTCTCTCTATCTGTCTCTGTCTGTCTGTCTGTTTATTTACCGATGTCAGGCTTTCTGTATATGGTTATATTTTGATGGACTGATATTTTGATAGATAAGGAGATATAGACGGATGGATAGATACAGTAATACATTGTCTATTCAATATTCTTTGTATAAACAAGAATATTGGCATAGCATTTTCTTTTCAAACTTTAATGAAATTACGCAGATTACAGCTAAGAACAAACATACAACAATATCTATAATACACACACAAAAACAAACAAACAAAACCACCCACAAGCCCCACAGCCCAACAAACGCCACCCCTCCCCCCCCCCACACACACACGAGGCTACCCTGAATACCCTCCGCCCTCCTCCCCACCCACTCCGCCCTCCGCCCTCCCCCTCCGCCCGTCGCCTCACCTGAAGAAGTCGATGGCCTCCACCTTCTCCCGGTCGATGCGGTACTGCTTCACGAGGTCCGGCTGGCTCTCGATGCCCGGAGCTCGGACCTCGACGGCGTTGAACACCTCCACCTTGTCCAGCACGCGGCCGGTCAGAGCGCGGTCGTTGCCTCGCTCGCGCAGCTAAGGGGGAAAGGGAGGCAGGGGGGTTGGGTTAGATTCATACTAGATTATTGGATTTGTTAAACTATTGTTAGATTACTAGATTTATTAGATTACTTTTAGATTATTCGATTTATTAAACTACTATTAGATTATTAGATTTATTAGATTACTTTTAGATTATTCGATCTATTAAATTACTGTTAGACTATGAGATTTATTAGATTCCTGCTAGATTATTTGATTTCTTAAGCTACTGTTAGACTATTAGATTTGTTAGATTACTTTTAGAATATTCGATTTATTTAACTACTATTAGACTATTACATTTATTAGATTACTATTAGATTATTAGATTTATTGAATTATTATTAGATTATTAGATTTATTAGATTTTTAAATTCATTAGATTATTAGATTATTAGATTTATTAGATTTATTAGATCATTAGATTATTAGATTTGTTATATTATTAGATTTATTAGATTATTAGATTTATTAGATTATTAGATTTATTAAATTATTATCAGATCGCTAGATTTATTAGATTATCAATAGGTTATCAAATTTCATTAGGGTTTGATTAAGGTGGGGTGGTGGTCTGTTCTTTGTGTGTGTATAAAGTCGAGTGTCTCTGTGGTGCGAGAAGTGTACTTTGGGATGGGGTGAGAGTTGGGCACAGAGTGTTGGTGTGTAGGATTTTGATGTGAGAGTGTAGGGAGTGTGGGTTGATTTAAGCGGTTTGTCTTTTTGTTTTGTCTGTGCAGAGATTGGGTACTTGGGTCTAGGTTCTTTCTTTTCTGTCTCTTTCTTTTTGTCTTTTTTTTCTCTTTCTTCCTCTCCCTCTCGCCCATCCCACCTCTCTCAATCTCTCTAGAGGCTTTCTCTTTCTCTCTCTCTCTCTCTCTCTCTCTCTCCTCCTACCCTTAAGCCCTCACTCTTCCTCCCACTCCTCCTTTTCCCTCTCCCCTCCCATCCTATCGCTTCCTCTTCCTCCCACCCCTCCTTCTCCTTCTCCCTCCTCCCACCCTCCCAACCCCACCCTATCTCCCTCTCTTACCTGCGAGATATCCGAGAAGAGTTCCTGCAGATCCTCCACCGGCTGTATGGAGCCTTGTCCCGTGCCACTCATGCGACGCCCCACGCGGTTCGAGGTCCGGCCGCACACTGGCTGCAAGGGAGGGCGAGAAGGTGCTTTATATAGTGGCTATGTTAGGGGCAGACGCTTGCAGTTATACGTCTTTTGGTATATGTTTGTTTATCTATCTCACATGTTTGTCTGTATTATATTTTTCTGTATCTGCATGAGTATCTACCTGTATATAAGTATTTTCTTATATGTGAATATGAATCTATTTGTCTATGTGTCTGTTTCTCTGATTATTTGTCTTTTTGCCTGTTCATCTATTTATTTATCGATCTATCTTCTATATACCTATATATCTGTCTACAGTATTTATGTATGTATATATAACATTTATCTGTCTATTGCCTATTTATATATTTCTATCTATCTATATCTATATCTATATCTATCTATCTATCTATCTATCTATCTATCTATCTATCTATCTATATATATATATATATATATATACCTTTCAATATTAAATTTATCTATCTATCTACGTTCCCTATACGTCGATATATATGTATATATATATATATATATATATATATATATATATATATATATATATATATATATATATATATACATATATATATAATTATTTCACAACTGCAGAATTGTTTCTGATCAAGAATACACAACAGAACAAAGAATTCTATTCTTGCTCTGGGTATCAACATGCAAGCCTACCAGGTTGCAAGAGCCGAGGCACACAAGCACGGTGCAACGGAGATGCAGATTGTCACGATCGGGGAACTTGAAGGCTTTGAACGATGAGTGTGCAACCTTGACCCCTGTCTTAGGGTTGCTCTTGATCCTGCAATGCAACGGAGAATTTAGGGTCATGTGGCAGAGGTAGCAGGACTGGCAGTTGGTTTTATAGTGTAGTGGTAATGTATTGATAAAATCAATGATTATCTTGGAATTAGTAATTGTCATAGGTTGGCTGTAGTTATTGCTATCTCCATTATTAGTGTTGTCATTACTATCATTGGTATCTTTAGTACTATCATTACAGTCTTTATTATTGATAATATTATTACTATCATCACAATCTTCATTATTATTACTATCATCACAGTCTTTATTATTATTACTATCATCACAATCTTTATTAATATTACTATAATCACAGTCTTTATTATTATTACTATTATTACAATCCTAGTGTCACCATTACTATCCCCAACCACCACCACAGCTACAACCCTCACAACCACACCAACAACCCTCCTCCCTAAACCAGCTCCCCAAACTACCTCAGCGGCGGCATGATGGCGTCGTCCACCGCGCACCCGTGTTCGTCGATGAGTTCCTGTGACTGCTCGCCCGACCCGTCATGCGCTACACACGATGTGATTCGAGTGTCGAGGCCCTTGCTCTGGCGTATCTTTAAGACCATGGTGGTATCGTCGCCTACGAGTAAGTGGTCCATGACTGGTTTTCCTGTAGAGGGTAGAGTGTGACTTACGAAAAGGCGAGGTTCGTAGGGATGGTTTTCAGAGACTGGGTTTGTTTATGTAGATTTATTTGTAGGAAGTTCTTTTAGGTGTGGATTTTTTAATTTGTATAATACGTGATTTTGAAAATTTTGAGTGCACTGCTTGATAGTGTGTTTTTCTTCGTGATTCTCGTATTACCCATGAAAAAATGATGTCGGTGGATCATCAATATTTTTTTCTCTGAATTCACTTTTTTCCATAACTCAATAATAAAACAAAGCTCCAAATAATAAAACATATAACTCAATAACAAAACAAAATTAATTTCCTTCCATAACCCATAAAATCCAAAAGAGAACCAAACCCTCGACAAATAAAATAAACAACCCAATAATAAAAGAAACCTGATGATTAAAAAAAAAAAATCTTTCATCTATACCCCACAAAATCAAAGATAAAAACAGTCCCCCCTAAAATGCGACTTCCGTACCATTGAGTGAGTCTCCCCTGACGATGTCCATCCAGCAGGAAATCGGTTCGGAGTTGCCTTCGGGGCGGCTGTTCTCTGCGGGGGATAGGGGGGGAGGGGCGTTATATACAAAGTAACAACTATGCCACACGCACTACAATATATATCAATCACGAAAATGAGCAACAGAATATGCAACACCCCTGCAAAGCATACTAAACTACCATCTTCACCACACGCCCCAGCAACAGCCACGCCCCAAACTCACTCCACTGCAGGAGCTCGGCCGGGAGGGGCAACGGCTCCCACTCCGCCGCTAGTCCGTCCTGCGCTCTGCTCCTCGAGGACACCTTATTCCTTAGGGTCACGAGCTGGGGGAGCTTGGGTCTCTCGCCGCTGTCACTGCTACTCCTGCTGTTGCTCCTGCTGTTACTTCTGCTGTTACTTCTGCTGTTGCCTCTGCTGCTGACGGCCGTGGCGGAGTCGTTGATTTTGTCTTCGTCTTCGTCTTCGTTTATTTTGGGGTCTTGGCTGACGACGTTCATCTGGGGCGTCGAGGAGGAGGGGGGGGGGTTATTTCACGGAGTGGATCGTACTGGGAATGTAACGTCGTTCTTTCTCTCCTGTCTCTTCTCCTCTCTCTCTCTCTCTCTCTCTCTCTCTCTCTCTCTCTCTCTCTCTCTCTCTCTCTCTCTCTCTCTCTCTCTCCCCCTCCCTCTCTCTCTCTCTCTCTCTCTCTCTCTCTCTCTATCTATCTATCTATACAAATTTGTATATAGTTATCTGTATATCTATTTATCTATCTGTCTATATATCTATTTCTCTGTCTGTCTGTATGTCTATCTATCTTTCCTCCGCACTGCCCTTTATTCCCCAAACGCACGAAGGCACATCAGGCAATCCCTCATTAACACATCAAGCACACCTAAAACCTTAAACTGAAACAAACATCATGTATCCTAACATCTAAACCCTTGACCTCTGACCTCTGACCTCTGACCTCACCTGCGCCACGGCCTTCAGCTCCCCTGCCTCTCGTTCCAGCCTGCATCGGACGTGGACCTGCTCGTCAATGACCTGCTGTACCCACTTGTCGAACTGGATGTACACGAGCAGCTCGTACGTGTGGTCGCCGAGCTGGAACGGGAAAGAAGGCGTTGGGAAAAGGCGATCAGATGACGAACTATTTGCAGTTGAGTAGTTCTCTTTAAAAGTTTTTTTTTATTGTTAATGTAAGTCTTAATACAGTTTTAGAAAGTATGTGGAAATGGATGAGTGGATGTATAAATCAATTGCATTTTGATGTTTTTTTTTATTGGTAATGTAAGTCTTGATACAGTTTTAGAGAGTATGTATCGTGTTTTTAAAAAATTGGAAATCGATTAATGGATGTATAAATCAATTGCATTTTGATGAGTCTATATGAACGAGAAACTTAGAAATTTAGGTCATCTCTCCGACCTCGTTTGACCTCACCTCATCTTCAATGACTTTGACGCCACACTTTTGGGCGGAGACGATCAGCGACGTGGTGGAGCCGCCTTCGCCCGACACCTTGCAACGCCCAGGGTAACCGCGGGCGTACACAGACCCAAAGAAAGGGTCCTGTGTTCTCACGTCCACCGTTAGGGTACCGCGGGAACACTTGCTGGTCACGCCTGTTTGTGGAGACGTTTGGTTTATCGGCTGATTTTGGCATCATTGGTGGATTTATTTATTCTCGTCCTTTCTTATGTGATGTAGTAATGCGTAATTTTATAGGAGTTCGCTTTACTTTGTTACGGGTGTTGCCTAAAGAAACACAACATTTCTTTGGTGAAGAAATGCTGAAAATGAACTTCATTCACAGGTGTATATATCATATCTAACTCCCCTTAACTCTAGATTAACTCGATTTTCCGTTGTTACTTAGTTAAACATCATGGGAAAATAACACTGAAGGTTGACTCACCAATAAACTTATTTGACAGCGAGGTCTTTGGGCTTCGTCGGCTTCTCTCAGACTGCTCCGATCCGCAGGCCTGGCGAGGAAGGGGTGTTGTGTGTTAGTACAGTAACAGCGATGATATTTGCATTCTCTCTCTCTCTCTTTTTCTCCCCCCTCTCTTTCTTTCTTTCTCTCTCTCTCTCTCTCTCTCTCTCTCTCTCTCTCTCTCTCTCTCTCTCTCTCTCTCTCTCAATAATGCATGCAGGAAGCTCACTGCAAAAAAAATCAGAACATAAATTAGCAAGTCACGCTCTCAAAATGTTTCTCAAAGCAAGCGGAAACGATCGAAAATATGCAAGTCAAAAAAAAGAGAAAGAAGAAAGAAAGAGAGAGAGAGAGAGAGAGAGAGAGAGAGAGAGAGAGAGAGAGAGAGAGAGAGAGAGAGAGAGAGAGAGAGAGAATGAGAAAGAGAGAATGTTAAACTAACAATGATAAAGATATGTAATATGAAGACGAAGGCATCTGTGACGAATGACCTGCATAGAAGACGGAATTAGGTCAATAGCGTCAGGAGTGAGAAAGGAGAGACGACGTGAGCAAAGACATGTAGACATGACATGACACTTACTGTCACTAGAAGCACGAGGATGACGGTTGCTGAAATGCGTGAGTGTTCGCGAGACAACATCTTCAGCGT